AATTTTCCAGGAGGTGGGACCGGCCATTGCAGCGCACGGCAGAAAAAAGGGAACAGCAGCTCTTTCCACCAGGAAAAAAAGTCTGGAAGCTTTGGCTTAAAGGTGCAGTTTTGGGACAGCCTGGGCACTTCTTGAGCAGGAAGACCCTTCTGTGGTGGCACCTTTAGTCTGGCAGGAATCTTCATTTAGAATAAATTTTCCAGGAGGTGGGATCGGCCATTGCAGTGCAGGCCTGAAAAAAGGGAACAGCAACTCTTTCCACCAGGAGAAAAAAATATGGAAGCTTTGACTTAAGGTGCAGTTGTTGGGGCAGCCTGGGCATTTCTTGAGCAGGAAGATTTTTCTGTGGTGGCACCTTTTGTCTGGCAGGAATCTTCAGTTGGATTCAATTTTCCAAGAGGTGCGACCGGCCATTGCAGCACACGGCAGAAAAAAGGGAACAGCAGCTCTTTCCACCAGGAAAAAAAGTCTGGAAGCTTTGGCTTCAAGGTGCAGTTTTGGGCAGCCTGGGCACTTCTTGGGCAGGAAGATTTTTCTGTGGTGGCACCTTTAGTCTGGCAGGAAACTTCATTTAGAATATATTTTCCAGGAGGTGGGATCGGTCATTGCAGCGCAGGGTAGAAAAAAGGGAGCAGCAGCTCTTTCCACCAGGAAAATAAGTCTGGAAGCTTTGGCTTCAGGTGTAGTTGGTGCAGCCTGGGCACTTCTTGGGCAGGAAGATTTTTCTGTGGTGGCACGTTTTATCTGGCAGGAATCTTCAGTTGGATTCAATTTTTTAGGAGGTGGGATCGGTCATTGCAACGCAGGGCAGAAAAAAGGGAACAGCAGCTCTTTCCACCAGGAAAATAAGTCTGGAAGCTTTAGCTTTCAGCTGCAGTTTTGGGCAGCTTGGGCACTTCTTGAGCAGGAAGATTTTTCTGTGCTGGCTCCTTTTGTCTGGCAGGAATCTTCATTTAGAGTAAATTTTCCAGGAGGTGGTACCTGCCATTGCAGCGCTGGGCAGAAAAAATGGAACAGCAGCTCTTTCCACAAGGAAAAAAGTCTGGAAGCTTTGGCTTCAGGTGTAGTTGGTGCAGCCTGGGCACTTCTTGGGCAGCAAGACCTTTCTGTGGTGGCACGTTTTATCTGGCAGGAATCTTCATTTACATTCAATTTTCCAGGAGGTGGGATCGGCCATTGAGGCGCAGGGCTGAGGAAACGGAACAGAAGCTCTTTCCACCAGGAAAAAAAGTCTGGAAGCTTTGGCTTCAGGTGTAGTTGTTGGGGCAGCCTTGGCACTTCTTGGGCAGGAAAGCCTTTCTGTGGTGGCATCTTTTGTCCGGCAGGAATCTTCATTTAGAGTAAATTTTCCAGGAGGTGGGACCGGCCATTGCAGCGCAGGGCTAAAAAAAGGGAACAGCAGTTCTTTCCAACAGGAAAAAAAGTCTGGAAGCTTTGGCTTTGTGGTGCAGTTTTGGTGCAGCCTGGTCACTTCTTGGGCAGGAAGACTTTTCTGTGGTGGCACCTTTTGTCTGGCAGGAATCTTCAATTGGATTCAATTTTCCAGGAGGTGGGACCGGCCATTGCAGCACAGGGCAGAAAAAAGGGAACAGCAGCTCTTTACACCAGGAAAATAAGTCTGGAAGCTTTGGCTTTGAGGTGCAGTTTTGAGCAGCCTGGGCACTTCGTGAGCAGGAAGACTTTGCTGGCACCTTTTGTCTGGCAGGAATCTTCAGCTGGATTCAATTTTTTAGGAGGTGGGATAGGTCATTGCAGCGCAGGGCAGAAAAAAGGGAACAGCAGCTCTTTCCACCAGGAAAAAAAGTCTGGAAGCTTTGGCTTCGAGGTGCAGTTTTGAGGAGGTGGGACCGACCATTGCAGAGCAGG